ACAGACAGACAGACGGACATGGCGAGCACAATAGTGCACTTTTTCCATAAATGAGAAAATGCGCTATAAACATCCCACAGATGATAAAGGACTTATTGTAGGTCCCGTCATTGTGCTTTGCTGTGACATCCAGATGGTTTCATTGAAATTAGAGTGATTGTTACCTAAATTCGTTTAAGGAGGATATGAACACACGATTTTCTGTTCTTTTGTCTCAATAGATGCGGTTCAATTGAGAACCAAAACAATAACGATAACTTTTTATTGTAATTGTAATCCATAATGCCGAGTTAAATTCATAATTAAAAATATCCCACCCTAGAATATAGAACGTGATGTGTCGGTCAGGTCGGCTGAGGTTTTCAATATATATTAAGTGGTAAACACTCACTGTAATCTATATGTTGCTATGGAGTTGACCTTGGAAGTATGGGTTCGGCATTCAGCCTGATGCAGATTCATACATAGTTCACTAACGCAATATTCAATAGCATATATAACATAATGATGAATTTAATGTAAAAATTAAAGTAATTCAACTTAAGAGGCAGCTGTTTATTAAGTACTGATGTGGTCCGACGAACAACGAGATTGAATATATATAACATTCAATAAAAGAACATAAAGCAAACTCTTAACAAATGGTGTAATAATTAATTCAGATCTGAACGTGATTTTATGCAACGAATCGTTTTAAATTTTGGGGGTAAAAGCGCAAAAAAATTATTGGAATTATTGCAATAATATTGCTAGAGTGCCTCTAGGTAAGTTATACTGAACATCTGATATATTTCTTCAGTAAGTACTGAAGATATGCCTTAGTTGTAATATTAAACATATTAGTTATATATCAGATATATATTAATATATGGATTGATAATATTTATTAGTATATAAGCAGCGTTCACATGGAAACGCTGGAATTATGAGCACGCAAAGGGACCTACATGCTGCATGCACCTACATGCTGCATGAACCTACATGCTGCATGCACCTACATGCTGCATGAACCTACATGCTGCATGAACCTACATGCTGCATGAACCTGCACGTTGCAAAAAATAAAACCTGCTCAATTATATAACAGGAATAGTTAACTAGACCTAATATTCCGTTGAGCTCCACTATATCTTGGAAAAATTCTTCCTTCGCTCTAGACATCTCCACATTCTGTACCAATAAAATAGTTGAGTCATGGTCCCAACTGTTTACCAATTATATAGCTCAACCATGATCCCAATTGTGTACCTAGTATATAGTTCAACCATGTTCCCAATTGTATACCTATTATTTAGTTCAACCGTGCTACAAATTGTGTAACCAATTATAGAGGTATGGTCCAAATTGGTTATGGGGTCACAGAGTTCAGTCGGAACATGAACAATGGCCGACATTAGCCGTCAAGAATTAATACAGAGCAATCTATAAATAGTTAGGAGATTAATTACATAAAGTTTGTTGGTAGGTTTGGTTCATGAATTTTCCTTAATCCAGTAGGAAATGCGGATAAATATCAAACTAATGCTAGAACGATGAATTATATCAACACTAAAAACTATATTTTTTTCAGTTGCATGCAACGTAGAATTATAACCATAATCAATAAACGCTCAGATCTATACGTATTTCTATACGTATAGATCTATACGCGTACGATTAACGACTAGAGAATTCGTTGATTTAAATTATCAAAGAGTCGGACAATTCTTCAGATGACGTTGGTAGATCGAAAGGCATATATCAGGAAGTAGTTTTAGTTTATTATCGTATGAATTAATTAGTAGTAGTATTAATTAACTAAAACTACTTCCTGATATATGCCTTTCGATCTACCAACTTAATCTGAAGAATTGTCCGACTCTTTGATAGTTTAAATCAACGAATTCTCTGGTCGTTAATCGCACGCGAATAAATCAAATTCTGCCATCTAAAACTAATTTTTGCAGTATAGATCTATATATACGTATAGATCTATGCGTATAGATTTATGAGATCTATAGGTATTTATCAATATCAAACCTTTAAAAGATGCTCTGAAATTATTTTCGGTATAGCGGCATTTGGGCAGATATACATTGTTGTAACAATTTGGAAATGCTATAAAGAAATGGAAAAATTTATCATTCCAGCTTTTAGTGGATTAACTTTGTAAGGTGCATGATTTTAAGTCATTAACTTTGAAGAAATCACCAAAGGAATTCCAATATGACATCTATGAACTCCATGATCGCTGGATATGTTATAGCGAGCTATGTTTAGCGGCTTTTGGCCAGCATGTACATCATTCAGCACATGATGCCTTCATGTATTCGATAAATTAAATTCATATATAATAAAGTAAATCGTGAAAAAATAAATGCATGTGTAAATCATCGAAAAAATTCCAAAATATAACTGACTCCATGAACTGCACGGTCGTTGTATATTTTATAGTGAGCTATGTTAAGCGGCTCTTGGCTATCATACTCATCTCTCAGCACCATGACGCCTTCATGTATAAATAAATATTTAGATGAATTATTCCGAGCTTCAAGTGCAGCCCAACAATGACTCATGCCGTAATTACAATGCATTTGTATTGAAATAATGGTCAAGGTGCTGGGTCTTCGAAGAGAAAAATATGAAGGTTATTTATGATGAATTGAGCAGGAATAGTTCTAATAAATCTTTAACTGCTGACTTACTCTTATGGAAAATAATTCATAAAATTATAACATGTCATCAGTAGTCATGCTGAGTGACTGCTGTCATTTGGTGAAAACTTTTCACGGTCTTCATGTATTCTTAAAAATAAGTTATGTACGACCTCTGGCGTGACGTCCAGCTTAATGGAAGTCTGAAATATTGACGATTACGATCCTTTATAAAACTACTAGCGTTTGATATAAGTCAGGTCACGATATTGACAAGTACAATACACGCAACCTGCAGCGTTTGATGGAAGTCTGGTCACAATATTGACAATTATAATCCACCACGCAACCAGCAGCGTTTGGTGGAAGTCTGGTCACGATATTGACAATTATAATCCACCACACAACCAGCAGCGTTTGGTGGAAGTCTGGTCACGATAGTTACAATTCCCCAGGGCATTAAGAGGCTCACAATAAAACGATCGAACTCGGAATAATTTGAACTACTCAAGTCATACAAAGTACAAATATTCGACATTAATGATCATGTCTGTGCGCCGCTGTCATTATGATTGGTATCAGAATTTGAGTGAGAAATTGAGGCGAAAAGACGAAGAATGTCGGCCTTCACGTATATATTAACACGTCACGTGTGCAGACACTTACGTGATATGAAGAAACAAAGAGATGAAGAATGACGTCCTTCGCGTATCTATTAATACGGCACGTGTGCAGACACTTTCTTACGAGATGATTAAGCTTTAGAATCATAAATGAAGACAATATCAATATAATGGCGATCAAAAGATCGCTCCCTACTCTGCTTCCTGTTAATTCGGCCCCTTTTTTTTGATAATTTGGAACATTTCTCGGATGAAGCAGTACATTTTTCTGAAAATGCAGCTCAGTTTCTTAATTATTACTGCGTAATAATTAACAAGTTTTTTAATTATTACTGACATATTATTGCGACAACGAGCACGTATCTCTAAAAATAAGTTGCATTTATTCCACAATGCGGCACATTTTTCTAATAATGCTATGAATTTCTCGTAAAATGCGGTACATTTCTTTCATAATGCTAGGCATTTCTCTGATAAAGAAACGTATTTATCTGATAATGCAAATAATTTTTCTAATAATGCTAAGCATTTCTCTAACAATGCAACGCATTGCTCTGATAACGTATTGCATTTCTCCGATAATGCGACGCATTTCTCTAATAATGCGACGCATTTCTCTAATAATACAACGCATTTTTCTGATAATGCGACGCATATCTCTGATAATGCAAAGCATTTCTCTAATAATGCACCACATTTCTCTGATAATGCGACGCATTTCTTTGATATTCGCTAGCACTTCTATGATAATGGGGGCACTTTTATAATAATGGCGCCTACATCACAGAATTGCTTTTCGTAATGCCTCGATATTAGCTGGGCTAAGTGCAAGCTGCAGGCTTAAGACGAAGCACACGGTAATCCCTTTTCTTTACTCCATTATCCCTGCATTATTCATGGAACCTCATCAAGTATGAAATGATTTATTGATGATTCATAGAAGACGTCGAAATGGTAGTCATTTGTATGGCTTATAGTCTGGATATAAGCGAGGTATGAGACTTCATTTGACTGTCTGAGGTAGAACGTGATGGTTGTTGCTACTGACGGTCTTGTGAAGTTTATCTGATCACTAAATCAGTCATCACCGTTTAGGAGTTTTTATAGAAAACGAAAGAAAACCAAACAAAACTGTTGATAATTCAGAAATAATAACTTTTCAACAGGTATTTCCCTTGGGAAGCAGAGTGAGCTCATCAAGGCGGCGCATCAGCGTGACCGGAGACTTAGAATAGAAGTGTCGGCGCTGAAGAAATAGGCCCATGGCCTGTTGCCGATTCTTGAACTTTTCGTGACTTGATTCATAAGGGATCCGGCCTTTGGAACCCGATCTTTCCATAGCTGACGATTGATTGCCTTGGCACAGCAATCAGTAATAAACTCAGCATCCGGAGCATTGCTTTCGGGAACGTTAAACCAAACAAGATTAAGTTTTCTTCTCTCTCTATCAAGCAGTTCACGGGTGCTCTCGTTGGCGAGATCAGAGATGACATCTTTGCGGCCTTTACCTTCTGTGTTATCATTATTTTCTGTTGTGTGCAGATGTGTCCCGAACTCATCATAAGGTCATCTTATTTCTCACGGCGGTTGATCAAATTGAAATTTCACCAGTCTCGACAGTTTTGAAGACTTGATGGCAGATCCGCGCGTGATATTGTTGCTGCTGGGGCTGGCAAGTGTAGCGAGCATTCGCTTCAGTGCCCCACACGGGACAGGCTGCGCGGCGACCACAGCACAGCTCGTACCGCTCGACCTGTTGTGCGCCATGCAATGTGTCTTGCGCAACGGTGAGTCGTAAGTGCATTGTTTAACTATTAGCTGAACTTTTTAAACAATTATTTCTACGTTTTAAACCGTTGAATAAACGTTTTAAACCGTTGAATAATCGTTTTAAACCGTTGAATAAACGTTTAAAACCGTTGAATAAACGTTTTAAACTGTTGAATAAATGTTTTAAACCGTTAAATAAACGTTTTAGACCGTTAAATAAACGTTTTAAACCGTTAAATAAACGTTTTAAACCATTAAATAAACGTTTTAAACTGTTAAATAAACGTGTTGAACAATAAATAAACGTTTGATTGCATTGTTGGGATCAACGCTTAATGGTTTTGGGGTTGGGGTCACCCCATGGTTATGGAGGTCATCTACGTCTAAAAAATTCTGTATTTACTGATCGATCTTTCTGAAACGTCATACACATATGTAAAACACGAATACAAGGACTTTTTTTCCTATAATTTTTTCAGATAATGAAGTAGAACGTGAAATGCATGGATAAAGGAAAAAATGTACATTTTTAAATCTCCTCATTCAATTTACGCGATACAACGCCGAGAGACATATTCGATTCGTAATGCAAATATCTAACGTCTCTAGGAGCCCATTTTCCCAAAAAAGTATGGGATTTTTTCTATGTATATATAGTATACATTTTATATAGTATATATAGTGTATAGTATATAGCATATTGTATATAGTATATATAGTATATAGTATATAGTATGTAGTATATAGTATAGTATAGTATATATATTGTGTACACAGGTACACAATAGATAAATCGGAAAAGGGGCTTCTAGAGCCTGTAGACATTTGCTTTATGAATCGAATGATATAGGTAATCATAGGGAGCGATGGATTTTTAATATAGTGTTTTTTGAAAATTTTTATTGTCAAGGGGGCCAAATGAGTAAAATTGATTGAAAAAAGAAGTAAATGCTAAAAAATTGTTCGATAATGTAGCCCCAGTTGTCCCATCGCCCATTACTCGTATTGAGGATACCATCATGCGTCGCACGATACATTTCTGTCCAGTTTAACGCAAATAATAATCTATATATGCAATTTTTCAATATTTTTTGTAAAAAATTGTTATAGGCTGGTCATTTTGTGCAAAATAAAAACTGTCTCACTCAAATAATGCATGCACATACATATAAGCGTTATTTTTTATTAGACGAGCTTTTTCCGCAGCTATAAAATGAGCTCAAAAGCGCAAAAGAGACATATTTGTCGATTTTTTCTGGTAGACGACCTACTTAAATTATTAATTAGTTCAACCTTGGGTGAGTTCATCGGATAACCATTCGTTCAACTATGGGTGAGTGCACGATTTCCCCTTACTTAAAGTATCCGATTCTCAACGTTTCCCATCACTTAAAACTATCCTATTCTCAACGATCGAAACTTGAAAATCAATGAAATTTTATGTTTTTACCACGAATTAAGATTTAGAGATGAGCATTCCTTGTCACTGGTAGTTGTTTAAATGTTTCATCAGTGCAGACATGTTGTTTAGAATGTGAGTTAGCCCAAAATATTCCGTTAGTATTGTAACTAATATGTCTCAGCAGTGAAGCATCCAAGAATAATGTGCATTTAATTTTAACGTGAATGGAATGAATGTATCGACATTTCATTTGCAGCACACAGGAAACATGTCACTACACAAGTACACAGGAAACATGCTATTACGCAGGTACACAGGAAACATGTTACTACACAGGTACACAGGAAACATGTTATTACACAGGTACACAGGAAACATGTTACTACACAGGTATACAGGAAACATGTTATTACACAGGTACACAGGAAACATGTTACTACACAGGTACACAGGAAAAATGTTACTACACAGGTACACAGGAAACATGTTATTACACAGGTACACAAAACACATGTTACTATTCACGACCAGCAGCTCGTTATTATCTTTCAGTTGGCTCAGGAATTAAGATTTTTATTGCGCAGGAGCGGCATGCGCGGGCTTCTCGCTGAACAGCGCCGCGCAGAGCTGCCAAACGTACGACGTCGCGCCTGATATATACGATGCGGGACTCTGCTACTTCGACGGTGGGGCATTTAGCTACTACAAAAAAAAAAAAATTTGTAATGCTAATGTACATTGTACATGTAGCAAGGTTTACTCGAAAAAGTAGTTCCATTTATCTTATATTAATCATAGGTGCGAAAATTTGGTTCATAAAATATTGATTCGACTTTTTGCACAAACTAGAACGTTCACTGATAGTCTGAGTTTTTTTACAGGCAACTGACAGGATATCAGAGAGTCCGTTTCAAACAAATCACTAGCAATCGCAATTTTTTCCTTCATGACAGACAAATCTGACGATTCTATCATAGCTGTTAGTATTTGGGCATGCAATCGTTCTAATTAGAGAAAAGTTTGAGCAGTAAACTTTAGGCTTCTCAAGTACATGACTTTGAAGATGGTAATTAACATTCAATTAACATTCACAATTAACATTCATTAAGGTATTAATTTAAACTGTATTATATATTATCAATTAAGGTATATTTCAAATACTTCCCATAATTTTTTGAAATCTTCTCTTATACCGGAACAGAGTCAACCGAATAATTTACAAAGCCTCAGCCCATAAGAGGATTATTAATGTACAATTGTCATCGTAAAATGACGTGCGTGTAACCAACTTGGTAAACATAGAAGGTAGAGACTCGTACCTGAAATTTGTCTTTTTGATCCATCGTTATGACTGGATAGACACTTCGAACTCAACCACTAACTGGTCTACGGACTTGATTGCAAAACGCAACCGAATCGCTCATAAGTCCAATTCCTAATGTGTTTCCGTAAATTTTGGAACAGAACTAATTATTAGTGATACTCCGCAACAGGAGATATTACAGATTTTACATAATTTCGTTTCCACTAAAAGCGAAAAATTGCAACTTTTGCGCAACTCAATCGAACATCGCACAAGTCTCTAAATTCTGAACAGATTGACATGAAATTCAGAACATAACTAATTATCACTAATTTCAGATTTTACGTCATTTCGCTTCCAATTGGATGAACAAAATAACTTCAGTGCAACCGAACAGCCCACGACTCCCTCAATTTAGAACATTTTTGCATGAAATTCAAAATATAAAAAATTCATACCAATGCGCCACGGGAGAAATCATTTCGAATTTATTCGTCATTTAATTTTCGAATAGAATAAAATAACGCTTTTTTGCGCAACCCAGCAGCTCACGGCTTTCTCAATTCTAAACCGATCTGTATGAAATTTAAAAAAAATAACCAATGAATAAAAGACACTGTTGTATGAATCGTTGCAAATTCTTCTTACGTTGCTTTGTTTTAGATTAAAACGAACATTGAAAAAAGTAGTTTAGGCTAGGTCACGTTTAGATAGGATAGAATTGTTCGGGTTACGCTTTCTTCATTAAATCATAATGATCCAACCTAGCCTTAAACTATCCTAGCCAGTGATAGTTTAATCTGACATTTGTTCAAGATTCGTTTTAATTAATCAAACATGCAGCAGCGTTAAAATTTGCGACGATTCCTACCGTGGTGTCTTGCTACTAATCATGTCCTAGATTTCGTGCAGATCAGTTTATAATTGAGGGACTGAAGAGTTCTTCAGTTGCGCAAATATTTTTTTCTTTTCATTCGTAAACGAAATAACTTTAAAATATGTAATAATTTCTCCCGCTGCGCATTGGTATTAATTAGTTAGTTGGTACTCACTTGTTGAATGAGCATCAGCGTAAGCGAAAAATTTTAAGAAATAATATATAAGAATGGGAAAACTTTGTGCGTTGAATCTGACGAGTGACGAACGACGTCACTCATTTTGATAGCAGTAGAGCCATGACAACAGAGGAACAGGGTGGCGAAAAGTGGATACATTGTTAAAAAAATAATCGACCTACAAATGCAGGTCCTCCGCCTCCCCTGCCACCGCTGCAGCCCGGCCTTCACCCAGCGGGTAACGAGAACTGCGGGGCAACACAGCGGCCTGTGGGGGCGTACGCAGTGCAGGTGCAGCTACCGACCGGTTCCGTCAGGAAGGATCACTACCTCGTGTGCGAGAACACCCCCACCACCTTCCGAGGAGCCTTGACTGGTGCGTGTTAACTTGCAGCGAGGCTTATTTTGTCAGACAACTGACACAACGAACCCCGTCCCTACCGAGTCTTCCGTGCAGGGCGCCACTGTAGCTTCACTGTAAAACTCGCACAATCTTTTTATATACTGCCATCAGGCCATCGCCTCACACCTTTCTCAGTCGATAAAACAGTGCAAAAAGATTTCGATTATTGTAACTGTACAAACGATGTAGTCTTATTGTCCTCTAGACTGAATTGCAGAATTATAATTATGTTGAGTAGGAACGTGCCTGGTACGTTTCGTACCAGGTAAGTATGGAATGCATTTGGTCACGTTATTTTAAATCAAAACAATTATTTCCATGGCAGGGACTGCCACCCTGCGTTCGAAAAACTGCACGTCTTCAGGCAGCGTCTACGCAGGTAAACTCTACCTAATCTGGTGTTGCAAAGATTATGAATGAATATGAGTATAAGATACATATAAGCGTGTCATTAGTGTTTTCATAACTTCTGGTTTTTCATCTAGCAAGTAGCAGCCTGAGGCTAGTAAGTGACTAAGAATTGGTGCCGCACATTAGAAGCCAACTGCTCAAATCAACACTGGACTTTATGTTCTTTTGCGTGGGCAAGTTCGATAAAGGCCAGAGTAGCCCATGAAGTTGAGTGCTTCAAGCAATACCACCGTAATTCCAAAGCTACCGCTTAGGCATTGTCGCTCATAAGCACGCAGTTCGGCATTCGGGCTCACCTATGCTCACGTTGTCACGACTCCCTACCCACAATAAACCTGAACGGATCTGCTCAGAAGCTGTGGATGTTTTGGAGTCTGAGTAGGTGGGGCTGTATGCAAAACTCCCTGTCCATGAGCGAACGTACTTGAACAATGTCGCTTTGGGATTGCGGCACATTGGCTTTACTGATAGAATATAATAGAAGTGTCGGCATGCGAAACTGATCTGGCTTACTATGTCAGCGCGGTCTTGGGCTTCTAGCACTGAGACCGAGTGTATTCGAGGGTTTGGTGTTGCCTTAAGCGATAATTTAAGGGGAGCGTCTGGGTCCCTGAAAAACTTTTTTATTTACTGACGGATCACTATGAAACTTGTTACACATGTAAAATAGAAATCTACGACTTTTTTCTTCGTGTAGAATTTTCGAAAAAAATGAAAGAAAACGTGAAATTCTTAGATAACGGCAAAAAGGGGGTACCGTAGAAAACTATCTCCTCCTAGGATTTTTAAGCTACAACATTGAGACGCATATCATTCGATGCGTAAAAACCATATCTATCGATTGGTTTTAGCTTTTTTCGAAATTCTCATTTTTTTTGTTTTCTCCCTCCCCTTTCTGCAAAATATTTTCCAAACTATAACGAAACTGAAAAAGGCTAAGACCATCCTCAAGATCTTTTATTTGCGAATCGAATGATATATGTCTCAATTCAGTAGCTTCAAAACTGTAGGAGATAGGTTTGCAGTGCCAGGAAATGCGATGTTCAGGAATGTCCAGGAGAGCCGACAAACGGCCGGCCGGTCGCACCGCGCTAAATATAGCCATTTCCCGTAGCTATGATAGCGAAGTTACGTGTTTTTCCACTTGAAGCGAGTCAGCAATGTAGAGAACGACTGCATGAACACCTTCCCACATGACAGTACGGAGGTAACTAGGCTGAAGGCCGCACCCGTAATACCAGGCTTAAATGTGCAGGTTCCGTTAATATTCCTGGTAGGGTTTTGTGAAGGACTCGACGAAAGGTAACTCTTTCAAACGCATGAATCAACGTACAGAGATGATTTTGGTACCTTTGGATAGGCCAGAATGGCAGCTTTAAGATGGGCATAAAAACATGAAAAGCCGAAAATTTCCGATTCTGAACCCGACGCTCCCCTTAAGAGATTAATTCGTGAGTCCTAGGCTGCGCTCTCGTGATTTGCAGGTTTCTCGGGAGGCTCAGGCCCGTGCGCTCCTCCAGCGCCTCCGTGTGCACTCAACACCACCAAATGCTTCGCAGGTAACGCTCGGCTACATACAGTGTAGCAAACGCTGGTTGGGGCTAATTCATAGAACTTGTAATTACACAATAGATTGCGCATAGAGCGTATTTTAAAGATTAAAGCTGCCTCTTTCATTTGGGGAATAAGTAGCTATAAAATATCGAATAAAATCGATGTAAGTACACCACGCCTGGCTTTATACATAATACAGCAGCATTTCTTGACAAATATAAGATCAGGTTAAGATGTTTTACAAGTGGTGTGCTTTTGTAAACTTTCTGGCACTGCATGATAATAATGTATGGACAAAACTAACCATTATCAACCTCATTCATGATACGGTAGGATCCAAAACTTCTGATAGTTCCCTTCTCTAATGAAAGACAATTTATAATAAGATTGCGCTCAGCATGTATTCTCTCAAGAGAAGGAGAATTGCATTAAGTATCGTCAAATTAGTACAGTTAGGAGTCTCTAAGTCTAAGAAAATTAAACACGATTCTGATTGAATTGCAGATGTTTGCGCATATGCTTGCGATATATAAACGTAGGCAGCTCAAAGGAGATCTCGATTTTGAGTCGCCTCGTGAAGAGACAAAAAAATCAAATCCATCCGAATTTATCTTGGTTCTCAGTTCGACTTTTCATCCAATATACTTATGTGCAGATCACATTTCCTCGATCCAACTCCTATATGTTAACCACTGTCCTCAATTCGCTGAATACCCTCAACACAATTAAGATATTTGAATTACAAACAGAAACGACTAGCAGCTGATTTAACAGTTCTTCGATGCCGAGCAAGACAGCCGCTTGTTAGAACCACGATGACGAATAGCTTGAAGTTGTGAGTTTTAATGATGCATTTAACTTAAGTTCTGCCGTTGTTTCCATATAATTTATCATGCCGCTAACCAATAGGAGACAACCAGGGTACACAGCCAATACTACCAAACGGATACCTGCGCTACTTTGGCTGCCGTACAGTGCATAACCTGGACTACGTGGTGACCTCCGTCATTACCTCCGCGGAGGACTCAAACGCTGAGCTCATGGGCATCACCTGCTGCTATGCCGGCCCGTGTTAACCGCTCACAAGCAATGTCCCGGCGTATAGTTTGTTGGTCTCACAACATAGCGAACATTAAAGCAATTCACTCCTACAAATTAAAGGGCAGGCATAATATCTTCAATACCCTGCTATTTTGCAGGCTCCCCATAGCTGTGATATATGTCCGTCATTTGCTGGGAGCTACCGAAACAATTCAGTTCAGTGAGCAAACAAAGATGGAATAGTTTAAATACATCAAACACATATAGAAAGGTTCTAGTTTCATTAAATGACGTATAAAACAAACCAATAATATAATATTTACATCAATTTATTCTAATAGTTCTGAAATCGCGTTTCAACTATCAATCAAGCACGTAATCGTTTTTGGACGATACATGGCAGTGTGGAAAACAAAAAAAAATATATCTCATTATCTAACATTTATACAAGAACAATTTCTAGAAAGACGCTAATCCTATACGACGGTTGCAGAGTAATTTTTCTTTCGAGACGCACTACGAGTGAACTTAACATCAAATTTATTTAAATAATTACCTATTAACATGAAGTTAAATAGCAATTCCCCAATTTTTTTCGCTCCGGCTTAATAGTTTTTCCGTAATTTTTTAGACAAACGGCAGTTTCAAATTAGAACGTTATCACCAAAGTTAAAAGAATGAAATGTTTCTCAATGCAAGGAATGAAAATTTTCTCCTCACATTACCAATTATTAAATTAGCACTAATAATCTATTACTAATGGTAAAAATGTTTTATTTGCATTATGAAATAAAATTATTTCAAGGCACCAAGCCAGATTCGTTTTATTAAGTATGCAGAAATCCCAATTAAAATAGAAAAGCCAGAGAGCTTCAATATTTTCCATAGAGCGACGCTACTTGTGCCCTCGATGCTACGTACAACTTTATCATTAAACTCAAACACCCTTTTACTTTCAGCTACAAGTTTTTCGCGAGTTTCCTCATCTAGACCCAGAGCAATGTTATTCATTTTATCAGCAATGAGTTTCTTCATTTTGAAGACTGGCATAGATGTGACTTCAGTGACAGCAAGTCCCTCATAAGAAGCTTTTGGGTTGAACTTGAGGCGGGAGAGGAGGGCTCGCTTCTTCCTGAGTATCTGCCCACCGGATAGCAGCCCCATGTACATGTGGTAGGCATAGGCCAACAGAAGAACAGGCTCGGTGCTTTTAAGGTGCTTCAGGTGATCTTTGTACTCCTGTACACTGGGACGAATGGTGTAGTTCTTAGACCAGTCTTTGCCCAGGTAATATTCCAGGTCCTAGAGTAAAGCAAGGTCAGTAAAGCCCTGCAATTACTAACAAAGCATTGGCAAATACGAGGGCAAATTCTACACAATACTCTTCAGTCTCTTGTATTGTGTAGAATTTGGTCATAAGTAAAAACCTATTACAAATCAAATACTTGATTGCAAATTAAGCCAGTTCTTATTTTATTCATGATATTCCAACAACATTAAGAGTAGGTTAGGAAATAAGTGGAAATAAGTAATGGGTAGGAATCATTTCATAAACCTTGATCAAGGATTGTTTAAATTCGGTATAGAGTAAAGTATTGAGTAAAGCGTTGGCTTAACAAGCTTTTTCAAAAATCAGAATGACCAATAGAAAAAGACTTAAAACATTATGGATACACATTTCACATTGGAGTTTTGCCCATTACCTTTTCAAAAAGGTGTGTCCTCCTGATGCCATCAATATCAAACTGAGAGAGTTCAACCTCTGGGTGTTGGTCCATTGTCTCTTCAAGCTGTTTGAAGACTTCATAGAACACAAGCAGCCCTTCAGCCCACACATCATTGCTACCCATTGCTGTAAGATACAATCTGTTCAATAAATATGAAAATAAATCACATCAATAAAAAAATAAATTGCTGTATTTCATTTCATTCCATTGGTGATAAATTGACTTCAGTGTCAATTCAATGTTGGATTGACTTGTGAATATTGCTATTTCAACTAAATATATATTTCAAACAACAATGAAGTATTCAGATACTAACCAATACCCAGTTTGGCATTAATAAGGGCATCGCTCAAAGAATGAACTTCTCTTGTGGCTTCTCTCATTTGCTTGGTAAATAATACATCATCAGAATTTTGGACTTCTCTATGCTTTGATGCCATTTAAATAAAGCAGTAGCTTACAGGAACATGTAGCAAAGAAAGCCTTTAAATGCTTTGCTGGGGAACAGGGGGTGTGCAGCTTAGCACTAATTAGGTGGGCATGCACTCCTGACTCCTGAAACTAAAAACAATCAAATCCTTACACATTTGGCTTGCTTATGGACATGCATATATATTCATTCACACTTTGCCTTCTCAGCATTATATGACAGAACATTTTCAAAAAATATTTGGGCAAGAGGGCTATCATTACTAACTAGGCAATATAAGATATGTTCAGAATTACACCAAATAAATTCAAGTAAAATTATCAGAAGCATTTAATTTTTTACACATAACATCACTTATTACATATGAAAATGATACAACATCCTACATACACCATTAGTCCATGTAGATGCAGTAGCATTGTCCAAAATAAGTGTTAATATTAATGATTAAATGGGATAAAATTAATTTTTCTACTAAAAAGGCTTCATGAATGCTTAAAATTGATTAATTTTTAATTTTTACAATGAAATTTAATAAAGGAAAAAATTCATAGCTTTTTTGCTCTTATTAGTAGGTATTTTACTTATATTTATATGGTACTCTCTAAATTTTTTTCTCTTTTCAGAAATTCAGATGCATAATTTTCATTAAGATCAGTGGAAAACATTTTTTTTTTGTCTATATAATTTTATAAACCTACAAGTATAACATCAAGATATAAAGTAATAATAAACCAATTTCATATGTATAATAATCTCAGATAATACTGGTATCCATGTCGGGCATGTCCCATGAACGCCATGATACTTTACTCAGTTTACTGGTTTAGGTACTTTTATATCATATAGGACTTAAAAATAAATTGAGCCTTAAAGGCTCAACTGCTCAAGTTTATTTTCAAGTCCTCAAAGGCTCAGCCTTTGAGGCAAAGGGACTAGGGAGAGTCTAAAAAACTCTCTGCTTTGGCAGCTTTGCCAGTTGGCAGTTGCCACTACCAAGTCTACCACTATGTCACTCAGGGTAAATGCGGTATATTCCGACACATTAAGGACGCATCGAGAAATGAAAAACTATAAAAAAAAACCGTATGCATTACGTAAGTTCTGTTGCCTTTACATGACTCTCAAAACACTTCACTACGCGTCAGCAACGATGAAACGTCACAAAATGTTGCCATATTTATTAAAAAGCCTTTAGAATGGAAACCTACCAAATCCCTATATTCCGTCATTTTGTGTGGCAACATCCGACACTTGGTGAGTCGTATTGCATCAGCGCTTCAAATTTAACTGATACGCATTGCCGACATCCACGTGTTCGAATTCCGTTTGCTGTGTGAGCTGTATTGGGATACAACACGGCTTTGAATTAGAACACTAACGAATATTGAACACTACTTAATTACGCTTTAATTAACAGCTATTAGGCTTTTAATTAAGCAAATTTCAATTTTTGCACAAAGCTTTGAACGATCTGTGTGTGTCCAATTCAAGTTGTGTCGGAATTAGTTTTCATGTGTCTAAATTCAACATCTCAACTTAATCATCTATTAATTTATTTACGACTTGAAATCAGCAAATACAAGTATACTTAAAGGATTCCTAATATATTCACAGACGTATTTAAAAGTCTCAAACCATAATATTCTTCCTATAAAAACAGTTATTCACTATTTGGTAGAGCCATGTCAACTGTCAAATTTGACACATTTTTCGATGATCTCACCACGTGGCATGCATTGTCTCTCTTTGGATCTCAATATTTTCCCACTAGATGGCCAAGACCTAGTGTTTTGGCAGTATTTTGACTCGCAAATGCATGACATCACCATTTCAACCATCAAGTGCATCAACAAACGCATGGAACTAAAACAAAGCTTAATATAAAGGAAAAGCTGGAGAGGTGACAGAATTACCTACGATGTCGGAATATACCGCGTTTACCCCACTTTCTCTTTCTGGACCCTGTCGGCTGTCAGACAGTCAGACTCAGTGGAGGACAATTATTTATTATTACAATCTAAGTCTAGTCGGCTATTCGCTCCCGAGCCTCCCGTCAGTCAAGGCCCAAAGGTAGCCTATCTGCCTATTCACTATTCAGTATGGTGGTGTAAAGCAAGCCGCAAGGTGAAGCCAATAATATTCTAAACAAGATGATGTCATAGAATAGAAGTGCCGGCACTGAAGAAATAGGCGCCATGGCCTGTTGCCGATTCTTGTACTTTTCGTCATGGGCTGTTAACTGACGACAGGGTGGACATGCTCAATCCGCGGCTGGTTGGTGCACAAAATTGGTGGTGAACGGCTGCTTTTTCACATCCCACCACACGATCCTGAGTAAATAATGTGAAATATGTCCAGACTCCAGTCTGCAGCCGCGGAAACTTCAATCATGGACGGTTTTGTATTTGAGTTGTGGAGTTCCGGCTGTACGCACTTACGACTTCGAGAGCCTCGCAAAGTTCCATGCTTGGTTGCGTGGTAGCCAAAATCTGAAAAAATTCCCCCCGCAAACTACTGATATTATCTACTCATATTTCAAATTTGAATAAAATCTGTTCATAATTGAAGGAGTTATGAGTGCCAGAGTTGAAAATGAAGTTAGGTTTTGCATTCGAGCTCGCAGGCGAGTTCGCTGAAGTGTCGAATCGGTGGTAGACTAGCCGGATTGCACTCCTGATATAGAATAGAATAGAAAAATCGGCGCTGAGGAAATAGGCCTATGGCCTGTTGCTAATTTATGAACTTTTTGTGATTTGTTCAGAGGAAATCTGAACACTAGCCTTTTTCATAACATAATATAGTGATGTCGGCGCTGAAGAGGAGGTGTGATGTGGCCTGTCGCTGATTCTTGTACTTTTCGTGACTTGTTTACAGAAGATTTATAAGCATGCTCTTTGACCGGATCTTTTCGTGACTGACGATAGTTACAGAAGATCTTCAAGCATGACCTTTGACCGGTTCTTTTCAAGACTGACGATAGTTTGAAATAGCCACTAGAATTCCGCAGGGTTCAATATGGTGCTAGGCATTTCAAGTATGAACATATATTTTTTCCGTAGATTTATCTAGTCCGTTCTTGAACGCGTTTATACTCCGAGTGTCAACGATGTAATCGAGGAGGCTGTTCCACATGTCGGTAATTCGAAGCGAGAAGAAATGTTGCCGCGTGGATGAGTTGCAACGCAGTATTTTTTAGTTTATAGTCCTGGCTTTTGTTGTTGGTTCGTGTTTCAAATTCTAGAAAACCTTCTGGAACCTTGTATAAACCATGAGTATACTTGTAAGCTTCAATAAGGTCCGTCCCCACACAGACTTCGATAACAGAGGCTTGGAAGCTTCATAATCTTCAACCTTTCATCATAGGATCCGAAAGTCCTCCCTTCAAGCCTCTAATTATCCTTGTCGCACATCTTAAAATACTCTCTATTAAATTTTTGAAATTTGATGTCTCGGTGACTACACGGCGTTTCCAAACTATAGGTTCGGGCGCACGACAGCAACAAACAACGGCTTCATGGCGTCTGCATCTAGGAACTCGTAAGAGCGTCTGTCGTCTGATCAGTCCAAGAAGTTTGTTGGATTTATTAGATTGCGTTTCAACATGCTTAGAAAATTTCAGCTCCGTTTCGGCATAAACTCCCAAATTTCTTTCCACACTAGACTTTTCAATCATCACTCTCTCGGTGAAACCATGATAAGTCTTCTCATATTGTTATCTTGCTGTTCATTGTTTTGAAGTACTTTACACTTGTCAGCATTAAAAACTCAGCTGCCACGCACCAGCCCAGTTAACTAAACTGTTAAGATCACCTTGCAATTGCAATTTATTTGACGCATCCTTAAATGTATTATAAACTTTTGTGTCGTCAGCATACATGGAGCACACGCTTGACGCTACATATGGCAGATCGTTTAAAAAAGCAACTAACAAATAGGCCCAAGAACGCTTACTTGTGGCACGCCACTGCGCACTGAAGCCCAGTCTGACACGGTTCCGTTAATGCTGACACGTTGTCGTCTACTTACTAGAAAATCTCTGATCCATTGGAAGGGAGCGCAGCCATGGGTAACAAAATTGACTCGTAAACAGGCCCTGGGCCCAACGCCAACCATCAGCATGCAATATCTACACATGGCTGCGTTACGTTCGGGAAGGTATATGAATCGCACTGTGGACTTGGGCTATGCTGACCTCTAGCTATCCACCCCATTGGAATACGTTTCCCTAATTCCCAAAGACTTCACTTTACGTAACAGCCGCTCATGCGGAACACTGTTAAATGCGTAAGTCCAATCGTTCAACGTAGACAATAAGTAAGTGGTGCAGGATCTGCCGGCAATAAAACCATGTTGACAATCTGATAGGAGATGGTGAACAGTCAAGTGATCGATAATCCTATCCCTAACAACAGATTCCATTACCTTACAAACATAACCCTTGTCAGACTGACAGGGCGATAGTTCCCGGGGCTACTTTTGTCACCTTTCTCTTGCGGGTTGTACGATTACGATTGCTGAATACAAAATTTTTGCGATTGTAAAATTTATCATAAAAAATTAGATGTTTTTTGTTTTGTCGAATATTCCATGCTTCATCGATGAAAAATTTACTGAATGAGATTCGTTGTTGGAAATGAAATTTTTAACTAGAGTTTTAAAATTTTCCCGAGTTTGATGCATCATCGTGGCCACTTCACTGCACGGTGGATTTCTCTCTTACTGAAAAGCCGGAGTAATAGTAAATATAAGTTTTTCAGTAGATTTACGTTTGTTCAGCAACTCAAGTACTACCACTTTTACCTATATCAATAAATATACGTTGATTCACCAGCCCAATTAAACCCTCACTCTAATATGCATCAACGTACGTACATACGTCATTCATAAGGCCGTTAAAACTCCCAAATTAATAAATATAAATAAAAGTCCGTCTTTCGGGTTTTTAAACAAAAATACAACACGTTTATCAAGAAGATTCATGACTCCTACTCGGATGACGTAACTCATCTCGCAAGAATCGTAATTTATCGTTTCAGAATTTATTTCTGAAATTGATCAGAAGATGAAACGGCCAACTGCATGAATTATTATATTTTTATTGTTATCACTGGAACATTTCCTCATCAGTAAAAACACGTGTCATTTATTTAGTTAGAAATGATTTTTCTCGGACCATCAGTGGCTTTTGCATTACAATTAACTATCCAGCCTACCTGATAGCATCGTTGACGCTCCGAGTATGAACGCCTTCAAAAACAGACTAGACGAAGCTATGCAGGAGCATATGTTCAGTCTTAAAATGCCTAGCAAATTACGGACCAGGCAATAAGATTGTTATATTATCATTATTATAAAATTGGCCACTGGAGTTGATGTGACAGCACGACGCATCCGTTAAACATTGCATGACTCGAAGAAATTCAAATACATGACGAGGAAAAAATGTCCCTGTGCTCCAACAAAAGCATATTATCAACCGACAAAAATTTTCTGAAAAATATTTGCTTATTGGTAAGGGATGGCACAAGATTACCTTCAGTGATGAAAAAAGTTCAATCTTTATGATCCAGATGGACGGCAATGCTATTGGCACCACTGGAACGTGAGCCTTAATTTTTTTTCAAGCGGCAATCTGGTGTTGATTCGGTCATATTTTTTAGGGCGTTTAGCTGAAAGGGGAAATACACTCTAGCTATTTTACATGGGAGATAATATTCCGATGCTTACAAGCACACGCTGTTTTACCAACTTCTCCCTTTTGCCGATGAGAAAAATGAGGGAACATATATTTTCCAAAAAGACAATGCTTCGATTCACACCTCAAAATCAGTAAACATGCGGTTCCTAGTGCAGAATATTACTCTGTTGCCGTGGCCGGCGCTTAGTCCTGACCTCAATCCCATTTAAAACTTATGGGTCATCATGACGAGAGATGTTTACCAAAATAAGCGCCAGTTTCAATCTGTGAGTGACCTGAGCACGGCTATCCTTCGTTTTTGGGATAAAATTTCTCAAAAGACACTGGATAATATGGTAAATAGCGTGGGGAGAAGATGCATTGAGGTAATTATGGCGAAAGGAGGTGAGATTGCCTATTAAAATGAGTGTATGTGATCCACAAACGGAAAAACATATCTTGGTCTTATAACCATTTCACCTAGGTTTTTCTAATCTTCATAATTTCTTTCCTTATATTTTAAGAAATTATTTTTATCGCATTGCGTTGGAACCGTTTTTAAACGTAGTTTAACCTCGTGCAATTAGAATATCTTATATTATTGTGCAAGAAAAAATATTTGTAGAAAACTGGGTGGTCGTATAGCCATTTCCGGCACTGTATGTATGTATCATGCTGGTTTTAAAATAATATTCAATACTATTGAGTGAAATCTAAAGGCTTTGTCTATAAATGTAGCGGTAGCGCTGTAGCGGCAAAACCTCGTATCGCTACTTAAATATGTAGCGGGTGCTACCGCTACCGCTACATTGCCTTAAATGTAGCGCCGCTACCGCTACTGAAAATGTAGCGCGCTACTGCCCACCCCTGCCGTTAGGTCATAATGAATGCGTGTACCAAGTTTTATTGAGCTGCGTTCATTCGTTTGCGAGATAGTCATTGGTCATTGAATTTGGATATTGGCCGTGAGACTGGCAGCGAGTCCGGCCGTAAATTTGTCCGACACCTATAATCTATAATTGTTAGCCTTTTAACAAAAAAGCTATATTATTATGTACTTTAGGGATTTACACTTTTGAAGATGGAATATTTGATAGTATTTGTGTAAGATTTCGTTAATTAACATACATGGTATTTTAATTATTGTAAAGAGAAAGTTTGACTCATTTCGATCATAAATTTAGCGAATTTTCTCGTAAGCCTTGATTTTGTCGAAGAAATAGTGGCAACAACCTTGTAGCAATTGGAATCGTACCATCAGCCGGTGACCGAAGGCAACATCAAAACAATGGCAGGGGTTGCTACAAAAGTTTCTAATTTAATTAAACGTGAGTTCACACTATATATTTTCATGGTGATTTTCTAATATTGTGATGAAGCTGTTTTATATTTTTTTTCATTTATGGCGCTACTTGAGTCATTGCCTAGTAAATGGGTGTCAAACAGTCAGAGGCTACCTAGGCATTGAATTTTCTTCAACTTTTTGTTTCAAGTTCTTGAAACCCCAATGACAGTATGACACTAGAGCTGCATAGCAGCTAGACTGAGCTGTCATGTGTCATGAAGGCAATAGTATTCGTGTTACCTGTTCTAGTAGAGATGATCTATTTTTTGTACAAAGAATTGATTATAGTAATATTTGCTAGTAAAATTTAAACAGCTTTGCAATTTTAATGTGAAATTTGAAAATTTTTCTGTGAATTCTGTCAATTTCATATAAGTCACCACTTGCCTTGGCAGAAACTGTATAAACCTTTCCATTTATCACTTAAAACTGTATAATACTGGTCAAAAGTCAAAACTAGAATTTGTTGGTTTCAATAACTATTTAATCTAGATTCCAGACTAGTTACCAACCACAGATTTTTTAGAATTGGTCCATTTTTAATTTCCTCAGCTAATTAAGATTAAAACAAACTTCTTGTGTATGATAATGCTGGCATCCAGGATTGGAATTTTTCTACTTGTTTCTGAAATCTAACGGCTCCAACATGACAAATTTTCAATACATTTGGAATCTCGCGGCTCGATCGTGCACTTTTGTTAACAATTGGATAGGAGGTAATTCATCTGGTGGAAATCTTGCGGTTTCAGAAATGGCGGGAAACCTCTAGTCGCAGCCCTGAAGGCAGATGTTTTCCATGCTTGCTGGCATCCATGATACTTTACCCATCTACTTATAGGATGCAGAAATGAGTATCTAAAAAGTCTCCCCTTTGACACTAATTTAATAAAGACAGTAAAGTTTTGCACAATATGGGTTGTGGACACCATTCACACCAACTTCATTGCCTCAAAGAGACAAAGATGCCTAGGTCCAATTGAAGCAGACAGCATTTGCCAATAAGGCAATGAATGTCTATAAATTAGGATCAATATAGCTGATGCAAAATGATTAGTACAGGTGATTGTGCATTACAATCATTACAGCGAACACACGTTAATTGGAATGGATGAATGCACTTTCCAATATTTGCAGCCAATGGGCAATGATCAGCATGGAGGACATACAGGCATTCCAATTGTTATGGCTGATGCAAGATGATTGGCATTGTCAAATGCGCATTACAATTATTGAAAGTAACACAATCAATCAAATCAATTGAGAGATACTGGCAATGACAGCATTGTTGATTGCCCTATTAGTATTTCACAGTATGTGACTGATCATGGATGCCAATTCAAGGTCAAGATGAATGATGGAGAGCTTTAAAGACACCAATATCTAGAGCTACATCACACACAAACAAAAGACGCCAAAATCTTGAGCAACACTGAGCTACACAAACAGACTACATCATTTGTCTAGTCATCTGAACTATGTGCCATGTGCAACCCAATGGTCTAACCAAATGCAACTCAGTGTCACCTAAACCAATTCAATCCAAACCAAGCCAACTTAATTTAACCTTCTCTAATTCATCCCAACCAAATTCAACCTGACCAGATTCAATTTAACGAGGCCATTCAAGCCATACCAGCCCAATTCACACCAAGAAAGAACAAAATGTATATATGTTGATAGGGGTGGAATAAAATCAAGTTGAAATATGACTACATGCACCAGATGACATTTATAGATAGAAAAAATAACAACCTAAAGACCCACAGAGATACATGATAAAGTAAAATGCTCTGGTTAACCTTAGTGAAAGGGATGGGGTAGTGTAAGGATTTAGGTATGTAACTTAGTTGAACTTGAGTATTTAGCTAGAAAAACCTATTAGCTGCAATTAATTTGTATTTACCATATTTTGTTTTTTGATTTATAATTTGTCATTAATTACTGCCTTATCACCTCAAAAATTGTGGTTACCTTTTGAAAATTCTACATTAAAATCCAACTACGGCTGAAATTCAGGTTTTAATTTCAATCTTCAATGGCTCTGTGCCTACTATCAAAATTTTTCGTTTGGAAAATCTTTTGTAGATTTTTTTGGCAGTTATTTACCTAAAAGATTAAAAAAATGATTTTCAGTCCACCATAGTGAATATTTGATGTTTCAGTTGGAGTGGAGGGAGCAGGCCCAAGGCTTGGCACATTCCTGTCCTATGCCAAGGTGGAGCTTGTGCCTCCCACTCCCTCAGAGCTTGGAGCTGGAATTGGGGGCCTGGCTAAGCTGGTCAAGTCTGCAACCACGTTGAGCTTCATGCGCCTCACAGTTAAGGTTAGTTTCTTAGCTTTGTATATCTCTCTTTGTTTATGAATTCCAATTAAAATAGTCAGCAGGTTCATTCTGTTGTTTTTCTTTTTTATATTCCAAGTTTGTGACCAAAGAATGTTAGGCATAATTGCTTGTTAACTCCTGACTACTCTCATAAGTTGTTTGCTAGATAGCATAAAGAACGTATTGCAACCAGTTGAAAAAAAATTTTATAACCTGCTTAGCCAACGCATTTATCGTGGTAGTGAAATGTATTTTGGCAGTGAAATGTATTGTGGCTCGTGCAATCCTCTAATGCTTCATTGTTTTTTGGACATTGTAACCAAGTGCTTACTAAGCAGTAGTTTTTTTAAGTTCTATGAATAATCTGGACAATTAAGTTTCATGTGCGCTGTGTAGACAATCTACACAAATAAGTAATCGTGAGTGAGTTGATGCAGCACCGAAAAAGTCTTGGACTCTTCAGTACCGTCAACTGGGGTGACTTCGGCCGCGTTTTTTTTTTTTTTGTTTTGCAAACAAACGCGGGGTCATAAACGATGGCCAAAGTCACTCTGGCGTTTATGACCTCGTTTACGACCCTGGCGTTTATGACCCCGGCGTTTACGACCCCGCTTTAGTTTGCAAAACAAAATAAAAAACGCGGCCGAAATTACCCAGGCAGCCGAAGTCACCCCAATTGATGGTAATGAAATGAGCAAAAGCAACGATATTTTTCAATTTCAAACACTTCACTGTAAACACTTCCTCTGGATTTTTAAGGTTATTACACTAGAATTTGATGAACGATATTCAAGAAAGACGAGATATAAATTTTTTATAATTACCTAGTGTGCAAAATGCAGTTAGATAGACATAAGTTGAGATAGACAGTTAGATAGACAGCTTCGAGTAATGTAGTTTCGGTGTGCAATTATCCAATGAGGAAAGGGACGTAATAATGCCTGATTTTATTTACCCAATGAACTTCTCCGGACCTTGTATAAACACTAATTTTGATGTCCGCATTTGTGACTACATAACACAGATCAGCAACAGGACAGAACTTCAATGAGATAGTGTTTGACAATATGAATAACTCCTAACACGTTTGAAGTGGAATTAATTTTCTGGACGACAGGCGCTGTTGAAATTTATGGTTACTATTGCACTGATATAAAAAATTAGGCGCTACATTACATTGAAATAAATTCTTAAGGTGAAGTCGGTCCACGCAAAATTCAGTAGAATAAGTTCTCCTGCATTAAGATCGGCCAGACGTCAGTCAGCGAAACTTCCCCATTAATTCAAGTGATATGATACTATGACATATTTCTTGCGCAGGAGGCTTGGGTGAACACTCTGGTCGCCACTGAAGTCGCTTGCTGGTTCTTCGTCGGCGAGTGCATTGGCAAAGGATCCATCATTGGCTACCAAGTTTGAATGCGGTAGCATTTGTCGAAATCAAGAATGTAACATATATAATACAGAGTTTTCATACTTAATGATGTCCGTGTATATTTCACGCCGTAACAGAATTGAGAAGTGTAACATCAATGTCCTATAATTGAAAGCCTAAATTGTGTTGGGATCAAATGACTCAACATGTACACTTGTCAACAGTTTACTGCACGATTAGTTAATAGTTGCATAATCTGAACATATGCGATGGCATGAATGAGAAAATGGCCATGATTGCCAGCTTCTGAGTCGAATTACACTCCTGCAAGATGGCGACAGACGAGAGGGAGGAAACAAAACGAACGCCTCGAGACAATACAGTGCAGGAATGTGTCGCGCTGTAGCACCGCGCAACATTGCGTTTGGCTGAGACGACCGTACCGAGCTCGTTGCTCCACAAGGGCATTTATACATTATGCACAATTTTTACAGCGCGTTTTAAGCGGAGCCCGGAGCTCGTAGTTCAGTCAGTTTATCTTCGAGATGCAAAGAATATTAGTGGTAATCTGAACTAAGACAAACGTGCTTCATCACAAATTAGGATAAGCGGTCAGAAAATACATGGGCAGATAGCTCTATAGCCGTTTTTTTCTACTCGAAACTTAAAAAAATACGAAGGAAAAAAATCAACTACAATAAGATCTAATAACTTCGAGCTGCATCACAGGTGCGTAATATTGTAAGAGGTGAAATCCTGTAAACTCGGTTCGCCTTAATCGCTCATCAATCTCTTTCAAACTTAATGCCTTTCATATCACAAGCTGTGTATCACCGAGTTTATCCTCACGAACTTTCAAAAAACGACTAGTGAAGAAAATCGGTACTACTCAATTTGATGATCGCAAAATAGTACCGGTAATACAATCATGAGGCCAGATCTGGTACGTAGGCAAAGTCGAGCGAGGAAATGGCCGTCACAAAGAATCATAACGTATATTTCCATAAAAGCCAAACTTAAATCGCAAGATCCTCTATATTCAATTCTAGCATCGACAATCAATATTAAGCTATCAACAATCGTCGTCTGAAATAGCGCAAATGCAATCAACAATAGATCCTGTCACATGCATACAGATCTGTTAATTACATCCGCGTTTCAAGTGTAGATGCGCTAAGATATTCAAAGTATATACATTATGTCATGAACGAGCAGGCTAGTATATAAGCATATAACTACGGGACATTCTGCCGTAATGGTATGCGGTAATATCGTTAATAATGAAAGGTCTTCAGAACGTAGGAATATTATCTACGAAAAAGACTCGTTTAAATGATTGATTAAATTCTGCAGATATTGAATCAAAAGTAAAATAAATGTTAAAGGAAATATAAAAATGCACGATCTTCATATCTATATAAATGCCAAGTACTATTTATAGGCGCACATGTTCAAAAACGATCGATATAATTTAGAAAAAATTATATTAATCAGTGATTTTTTGAAAGATAGACATGCAGAATCATTGTGGTCTGATGCAAATAAGAGGACACATTGTGCTAGTATGTTGGGCAATATGTCGGTAAACATTCATTAGGAAAACAGCATACCGGCTACGGAATGACGAGCTCAGCCGTGCAGGCGACTAGAAAATATCGAGCCGACGCCTACTTTAAAGTGGCCGTATAAACGGCATGGCTACTCAACAAGTGCGGCCAATCAACGTAGTAAGGAAAAAATCGCACATATATAGTAACTTCCATTAACTGACTTCATCACATTAGATAATAGAACCTCTAGAGGCCCATAGAATCACATAACTTATACTTGAATGAAGCAGGGAACTTGTATTGCAAGGGATATGAAATTGCTGTAAAATGAACAATATCTTTTCACCGATCTAAAACACTTAATCATCATAAAGGCTGCCGCTTAAATCAACGAAATTAACACAAGGAAAGCGAAATAATTAATCAGAATGGTCCCGATAAAAAAAAATCAGTGAACTTTCCTCAACGTTGGCTGATCTTTTTAGAACAAATTAGACGAGCACAAATAGAATATATCCACATCCAAGAATAAGCTCATCCACAAAGGGGAGGCCACAAATCAAAGCCAAGGCCTATTTTAATATGTCACATAAATGGCATTAATCATGCTTAACCTACTAAAAAACTAACTGAAATTTACTCGAAAGTTGCGTTCGAAAGGATATGAGGAAAAACAAATCTCGAATGTCATGTATATCCAAAAATAAAATCAGAAAACATTCCTAATAATCCTTGAGCGTGAAACAAAGATACTACGTCAGAAGAAGGAACAGGAGCACTAGAACTGTGAGGGGCTGGGCAAGGTGATGCCGAGCCTCTGCACCACCTTGATCTGCGCCACAGCCGCGTCCCTCAGCGCGCAGTAGTGAGCCGCCTCCTGCAGACTCTTGGCCAGTGGGATCGCTCGGTTGAATAGCTCAACGCCGTCCTGCAGGTTCCCACTACAACAATAAAGCCTAATTAGAAGCAATCCGCTACAATAAATTAAGCTGATATACGGTACATTTAATGGGAAAGAAGCATTAACTGGTGGCACTGTACAGAAAACAATGGCAAAATCTGAACCGTAGAAGAGATGGAATGACAACTGCAGGTAGAATTAAATAGGAATAAATTAATTCGAAATAGAAATGAGTGCAATGACACTGGAATAATAGGCTAGACATTAAGTTATAAAAGAATAAAATGAATGATGTAACAACGTTAAATTGTAGAAACAACATACAGCTTTAGTGACTGCTTTACATTTCAACTTTAATTTTCATTCGACCAAACAGAGCCAATTTTAACAAATTTATATTCAGTTGACTGAGTGAACAGCAATTTATAATCATGGAGCGGTAAGCAAACGAAGAATCTATTACCCCAAAATATTAACTTTACATAGAGTAAAGGTTTTCGTGTCGAAAATTCAATACTTCCAGTACTTTCTTCTTTTAAATTAAAATGAGAGGTGAAAGCTATGAATGAGTTAATGCGAATTCAACCAAATTCATAATTAACTGATCATGCAGAAGATGGACTACGATTGCAATTACGCCAGTGCGTTTTCAAGCGAGTGACAACGAAGGCTCATGTCTCCTCCTTACTAGGAACCATTGGAATAAATCTCATTTTGCAAACAGACTATCGGTATCACGGCAAAGATTATTTAATCTCTCTATAAGAAGCATGGTTTGTAGCACTTACGTTTGAACGTGAATAGTAGCGAGGTTTTCTAGCGCCAGCTCGCACATGGGGTCCACTTCAAGAGCTTTCCTAATGAGCTTCTTAGCGCCGTCCAGGTCACTCTTCCACTGCACCTGCAGCATGGCGCGGTACACAATGCCTAGTGGGTTCTCCGGCTCGTTGGCAAGCAGGGTTGTGAACTGATCCTCTGCTTTGCTGTATTCCTCCTCGTCGATGTAGATCTGAAAACAACATGTGTAAATTCTACCTGCATCTCGGCGTACATCTTAACCAACGTACCTACAGGATATTTGATAACTCAAGGCGGCTATTATTCTAAGGACGAAAATAATGCATGGTTACACGATGCTTAAACGTTACTTGATGAAGAACTGAGGTGCAAAGCATCCAACAAGTATGTCTTGACTGCGTAAATAGAAGAATTCACTACATTCAATCAACTATTCATGAGTGTATTTTAGAGGACACACACCTCAAGTTACACTTCCCCCGCACTTATTTGATCCTTGGCGCTTAACTGGCAGTGGACTTGAAGAAATGTAATCCGATAACATAGTCCGTAGTTTTAAGCTTTTCCGTCAGAGCAACAATGATGTCGAAATACTACCTTACAATTCGAACATTCGTAGGGAATGTAAGCTCAATGTAGGTAAAAAATAGAAAAAAACTTTTAAAACCCGTTTTCTTACGGACAAAATAGAAAAACATTTACTCTTACATAACATTACATAGCATTTTACATAACTTAAATGTTATGTAAGAGTAAATGTTTTTCTTTTTTGTCCGTTAAGAAAACATGGTTTTTAAAAGTTTTTTTATTTGTTTTATTTTATTATTTTTAGTTTTGTAAAAAGCAGAAAAAAGTTGTTTTTAAAAATATTTTTATATTTATTTATTTTCTACTTTTTAGTTAGCAGTTTTAGCAATTCAAATCAATTTCCAGGGTTGGCACGTGTGGATGTTTGAGAAAAAACTCAATTCCAAACAGTGAAGTTTTAGTGTTTTTTTTTTGTTTTTTTTTTACAAATTAAAAAAAATTTTAATTATTATTTCTGATGATCAAATCTTTAATTGTTAGGCAGCATAAGCATGCATGCCAAATTTCAACTTACTAGGATGTTTAGAAGTGCTCTAAATACGGTTTGAATTTTTGATGACAGACAGACAGGTAAAAAAGGCTTCAGCATCAACTTAAGGCACTGAGCTCTTGCGGTAACTCACATTAGGTAAAGGTAGCATTAATGTGTCTGTTAACAAAGATATACAAACATTTCGATCACGCGTAGAAGTGAACACTTGAAAAATGAAAGTGCACACATCCAGGAGTCCCCGTTACCTGGGCGAGCAGGAGATAGAGTTCAGTGCACTTAGGGAACCTGGTCCTGGCCTTCTCGAACTCGGCGATGACTTTCTTGGCCTCAGAAAGGTCATGTTTATAACACGCATGCCTGCACAGGGAGCCTTGCATCAATGCAACTTCTCACTGTTAAGTATTCACTATCCTATCAGTAAAATACAATGCAGCATATATGTTACTTACAGTTCAGAGAAGATTTTCAACAATTCGAAGTAAACAGCAACTACTTGAATGGCAAATATTGCAAAAGATAGAAAATTTATGGATTTTTAAATTAATGATTTCTGAATGAATATTATTGATTTTAGCCTACAAAATGAACCGCAAAACTTTTTTTCAGAAATAGAAAGTTAATCAATATTTCTTCACTAAGGAGTTTCAATATTAGTGTGGGACACGATCCATAAAAATTAATTTAAAATCTCAACTAAATCATGTAATCTACAATCCGAAATTCGCGAAACAATCGAAGGCAACAGCCAATGGAAGCGTTAAACATGCAATACTAAATTCAACGAAGACATATAACTTTATGCGAAATTATTAGAGCTAAGAGTTGAAAATTTCAGCATGGTTTCTGCACCAATGGGCCGGGTGGCGGTTATTACCTGTAGTCCGTGTGAAGTTTCTGGATGAAACCTATGGCAAAGTCAGGCGCAAGCTCGACGACCTTATTGAAGTTCTCGATGGCTGCATCAATATTGCTCAACATCAGGAACATCTGCGTGTGAAGGTCACAAATTTGAAACCAAATATTGCGACGAACGACGACGTTGTTTGCTTGCACACGTTCCTTGATGTCCTTCAAACAAGGCTTATATTCACGCACAGAATTTTCCCGTGAAAAGTGCAACTAATGTTTATTCACCAGGCATAAACGGTTATATGGTTTTTAGGTTAAAGACTAAAGCAGTTGCGAAAGATCGAATACATGACATAGATATATTATTTACCTGTCCCCTCTGATGGTAGACATCAGGATTTTTGTCATCAATATTGAGGGCTCGGTTGTAGATGACGAGAGCCTCGTCGCTGTTGTTGAATGCCACCTCCATGCTCCCGAGCTTTGCAAGAGCCACGGTCCTGAACTGCGAACAAATGTAAGAGTCAAATGACTTACTCTCTTACATAGTACACCATTGTAATCACATAATACTATGTATGAAAGTAATTTGGAGTGTTCAAGTCAAAATTCAAAATTAGGCGAATGCTTACGGTATTTCTTCCATTGGAAGCTCTAACCTGCTTTCTTGACTACAAATGGAGGAAGTTTATTGGCTGGAAAATATTGAAACACAGCCATGATTAATGATGCTCTCAAGAAATGTTTAAATAAAACACAAGCATGAATCTCACCTCGGACGGAACAGACTCCATAGCAGCAATTTCATTGAAGTCCTTCTTCGCGTTGTCCCTGTCTAGCATGAGGACATACATGGAGCCCCTGAGCAGCAGTGCGCGTGCCCTGTACGGCGACAGAGGGTTGGCGAGCTCGTTGCTGCAGCACTCGAGGATTTGGTCGTAGCGCTCCTCCCGCATGTGCTGAACAGCACGCAGATACCCGCTGACGAGACAAGCAGGGAAAACAGTTAATTTATTGTCTCTGGATCTAAAAACTTTGGGACCGATCTGCTGACACTGAGAATAGTAGTTAGAATAATTCATTATTTCTGGCAGCAAATTCTCCATATATTTCTTGTTCAGAGTGAGAATATCGTTGGCTCCTTGCTGACAAACTGGATAAATTTTTCGAGTCTAAGCTAGCATTGTAACCTTGTTTGATGCGTAGTTATAGATCACACAGCAGGATACAAATCAGCTGTCTAGTTAAAAAATGTTAACGTTGGTCGTTGTATGAAGAAATAAGATGATGATTATCAGGTGATATTATTTTGTTCAAGTAACCAGTGATAAAATCTGGCATATAGCTATTAAAGGAATATTAATAGGTACATATACTGTATGAATATCAGGCACAAATTGAAAATGATTTAAAATAATTTTGAATCCTTAGCAAACTAACTGGTCGAAGTCACATTATTTACACAAGTTAGACAATTTGTTTCACATGTTAATATAAGAGAAAGTAATTTATGGCGGCCACATTATTTCGTCAATTGCTGAGCATCTGATGAGCCTGACTTGCAATTTTGGACTTCCTAAACTTTCAGAAGGTATGAACAGGAAAAAATCATCTCCAAGCTATTGCCAACTGCTGATACCAGGCAATGAGGTATTTGGAAAAAATAAGTCCTAACTCATCTGGATCCTTCTCATTTAAATGTTTATAAAAGATCATGGTTGAAAAACGTTAAAAATAATTTCTCATTACCTCATTAGAATTCTGCTGAGAAAATTCACCAACTAATCTTAGAGCTTGTACCAAAATTTAATTGTAGTTCTTGCTCCCTTTTTTATCTTGTCTTTATGATGTCTCATTAGTAAAACCCATGAAAATAATCTAGATCGGTCAATGTAGTTCAGCAAAGTAAATGCTACTTTTCACAGCAGCTGATGAATCAATAAGTGCAATGACAAAAAAGTATAGGTACATGCTCATATGCAGGAATTGCTCTTAGAGAAGCGTGTCTTTCTTGAACATAAACTTGCAGATTTGACACCTTTTATACTTTGTGCAATGATAATCCAAAACTTCATTTTACTCATTTGATCTATAACGCACTAAGCTTGTCAGTACAACAAAAGCAAGTTCGAGTAGTCCATTTGATTATTTCAAAAAGATAGCTTAATCTAGCATGGCTGGAGATACCCAATTCCTGAGATTAGAGAATCCTGTTACATCAAACTATTTTATTCTGAAACTAGCTGCTAATTTTCAATCTAACCATATATTAAGAGGATAATGACCCTTTCAAGCACCCAACTATGATAGAATCAGGGTTCGTACCGGTTTTTAGAAAAAAAATTCCATGACTCTCCATGACCATCAATATAATTTTCCAAGACTTGTATACGACAGGTTTAGCATGACTGAAAGACTAACCGTGCATATTCTATCATCTCCTACAGTTGACAAATAGCAAACGTGTAAATGCATAGCTCTTCAAATGTGGCATGGCTCTTCAATGCTGCTTCCCCCATATTTGACACATATTTCCCCCATATTTCAGGCACAATGTACCTGATATTGCCACACCTTCATGCTTTGGATGGCGAGCAAGCCAGTCACGATAAGCTTCTATTTTTAATCACAAGTCGTGAAATTTACACTTTCCAGGAATGGTGATGTAGAAATTGCACGCTGAAGATAGAACGCTGCAACTACAGATCAAAATGTTGTCCAATGCAACTGAGCTCGGTGACCAAGCTCAAGTGATTGGAGAACCAATCACAACGTACCTAGGAAACAAATTACTGCACTAACAGTTTAACATACAGATCAAAGAAAAACACTTCCTTTTTTCTTCTTTAATTTGCAAATTTCATGACTTTCCATAACCTAAAATGTGCTTCAATGACTTTCCCGGCCTGGAAAATGAAAAATCAAATTCCATGACTTTCCATATTTTCCATGACCGCTACCTATGAACCCTGTAGAATTCTCTGTTAAATACCATTTCGATAGTTGTAGGATGAGCAAATATTGGCAGATGGGAATGTTCCCATGAAGAATACAAGACTTGCTTGTAAGTTTTGTGCTGCACTGAGACCAATTAAAATTTCCATTATATGAATAATTGAATTCAACCAAAGGGATTCAAAATCCTAGAACAACCTAGCTCAAACTTTTTTATTTTGATTGTGCATGCATCAAACTGTTTTGCTTTGCAGCACAAGTCATTTCAAACACACAAGCTGTTTAATTTATAAATTAAAGCCACTGACTTGGACACAGCATGCTTCTCAGCTTCTTCATCTGCTGGCTCTTTTTCACTGAGCACCTCTTTGAAGACAGGGTCACTGCAAAAGCCATTAAAGTAAGGCTTGATGTGGTTCTTGGATGGCAGCTGATTTCGAGGAACACCAAATACCTCTTTGGCATGAGCCATTCCTGTAATATTTAAGATAGATAAGAAAAATGAGTAACATAAAGGTTTACCTTTCCAATGAAGATAAAATGATTTATATATTTCATGAACATTAGTCAATGGCTACAACATCATCAGATCACAAGCTTAAACTATTCACTGTAACCAAAAGAGTCTCACCAATTTCCTTTAGTATTCTATCCACAAGAACTAGGCTCTCTTGATTGGCAAAAGACTCAATGATGCAGAGTGCAGTGTAGTCTTCCAATGCTAGATCCAAATCAAGAAGAGCTTCAGCTGCCCTTGCACGTCTTGTTAATGCTTTCGAGTATCGAGGGTTCAGTTCCAGAGCTGAACTGCAGGAACTTAGAACTTCAGGCCAGTTTTGCTAAAAGAATCAGATAAATACATAAATTTTTCCACAACAATGATCTATGGTTTGACAAAGCTAGAAAACAGTGCAAATGAATTTTATTTCATAAAAAAATCTTAATTTACAAAGAAATCTAGTAATCTGCTCATTCACTAAAGATCAAATTTTTATACTAGTTTAGGTAGGCTCAGTGTCATACCTCTAAAAAAATTGCCTTGACAGTTCTTAGTTGAACAAAGCTTTACTTATGTCCATTCTACAGAGCTTCTGCAATTTATTTTTATTGTTATTTCTTATACTCATCAATTTGATTGCACCTTTTTAGGGTACAGTATATAAAACACATGAAGGAAATATAGGTCAATAGGAAATTTTTTATTATTATTCAACTAGTGAGAGAATTGCAAAATGGGAATGTTGTTTTTCAAATGAAAGAACATTTGAACATTAGTCACATAACAAATGAACATTTTCATTGTCTATGAACATTTACAAAAAGAAATCTGTTGGTATGTAAATTGCACTTTTGGAACAAATCAAAATCACATATAAAAGTTCCACTGAGAGGTAAATTTTTGGTTGCTAGATTTTTTAATGAACACAAACTTTTTAGCCATGGGAAATCAACATAATGACACCCTAATTCAACATGAAATTTCCGTAATTGAGCAATAGAAAATAAACCTCTAGATTCAGGAAGACTTGCCATGAAATGACCTAAACACACAAGAATATAATATTGATTAACTTTCTTGCAATTATACACATGGGTTAGACAATATAAGGGAAAAGCCTAAGAAATCCACAAAATATATTTTAGTACGGTTTAGGTCCACCTTTTGCATCAATTATGGTGTCAATTCTCTGTGGTATTGATTCATACAAATTGTGAATAGTTTCCAAAGGAATTTTAACCAATACTTCAGTTAAAACATCCTCCAGTTATTTCAAAGATGATGGCAGCAGGAATCAACGTCCAACATGCATCTCTAAAATTGACCATAAATGCTCAATAATATTCAGGTCAGGTGATTGTGGTGTCCAAATGAGATGCTCAACTTCATTAGAATGTTTCTTGTTCCATTTTCAAACAATTCCAGCTGTATGGATGAGGCATTATCATCTTGAAAGATGGAGTTCTCCTCTGTAAACAGTGCTTGAACCATTGGGTGAACTTGGTCCTCTAAAATTCCTAAATAATCATGGCTGTTGATGTTGATTCTTCCATGAAGAGAAATCGTTGGTCTGCCAGATATCCAAGAAATAGCACCCCAGATCATTACAGATCCCCCGCTATATTTTCCAGTTGGGAGGAGGGAGACGGGATTGAATTACTCTTTTGGCTGTCTCTAAATGTAAACTTGGGAAGAGGTTGGATATAAGGTAAATAATAATTTGTCAGAAAAACTTATATTTTTCCACTGTTTGAGGGCCCAATTTTGGAGGTTTTTACACCACTCTAAACATGTTGAAGCATTTGTATTTGAAACCAGAAGTTTTCTAATTGCAGCTCTTCTATAGAAAACAGATCTGTGCAGCTCTCGGCAGACAGTTTTTAAGGAAACTGGGTTTTGTTGGTGTCCATTGAGGTCTGCAGAAATTTTAACAGCCGTGGTCTTTGGATTGTACCTCACAATTCAATTTGGGAACCGACCTCTTTCAGACAACTTTGATGTTCCTGTGCTTTGCTTAGGACATTTTCCCTTCTTTTTCATAAGCAGTCATTTCTTTTGAGACAGTAAAGCATTTGGCAAGTTGGTCACACAAGCACCAGCCATATGGGTACCAACAATTTGGCCTCTTTGAAAGTCAGATAGGTTTGCCATTTATAGGTTAGGTTATAGACACATAAATGTACTAAAAATATTTGTGCAAGGATAGAATATCAATTCGCAGCAGTAATAAACAATAAAACATAAAAATATGGTCTGTTTCTATTGTTTTTAACCTGTTCAAAAATTAGGATATCAAATTGTCAGGCATTTCCCTTATTTTGTCCAACCCCTGTATATACCTATGTCTAAAAAAATGTATGTGAAGCTTCCAGGTGCTTAATTGAGCATGGCTGACATTAGAATTTTATTAACAACCTCAGGAAAAATTACTTTTGCAGAGGATTTTTTAATTGAATTTAAGCATGTTGAGCAGTCAGCCTCATTTGACATGGACTTCAGGGGGCTGTAACTCTCAAACAATCTATACCAGAACACAGTCCTACAATTGACAGCCATTTACTTACCAGTGCTTCATTGGCAGCAGCTTTGTTTTGGTAGAAAGTAGCTAGGTCTTGTGCGGCTTCAGGTGGACAAGCCTTAATAGCAGCATCGTAGCATTCAATGGCTTCAGTGTAGCGCTTGTTCAAAAAGTGGCTGTTCCCTGTAGATTTATGCTTCATTGCTATGCCCAGAGGAGTCTGTGGAAAGAAATTTTGTAGTTCAGACTTATGATAAAATAATTCATTAATTTAAGCAATAAGCATAAAGTTCAAGTTTATCGACATAAATGAATCTTAATTTTTGGAAGAACTCTATTATAAAACCCACAATTTTTCAAACCACTTCAACTGGTTCATCTGTCCAGTGATTCATGATTCAGCTTAACAAGAGATGGCAGATCATTAAACATGATTGGAGCTGCTCAAAAGTTTTCAATGATCCATTGCTGCTGAAAAAGAAAATTAAAAAATGCACAATTGAAAGGTAGGAGACCATAGGAATGGTAGGTCATTCCTTGGCTTTGTTTCTGATAACCACTCATTTTTTATCAATTTACTTTACATACGTAATTAGTTACATGGTATAGTCGTATACTGTCAAATGGGCTATTAAGGGACGGTTTTGAATGATTTTCATTAATAACTTCTTACCATGGAACATTTCATAAATGAGTTTGGACTCATTTTTAAGGTCTTTGCAAGGGCTATTGCATGGCATCTTCAAAAAATTATATATGCTATTTGTAAGGTGCTAGATGCAAAAGAAAAGCATCCTGAATTACCCCTGGGAACGGGGTAATTTGGTACACTTGAAATAAAACTCAATTTTAAAACGTTTCAAGTATGCAGAGTGTACTTTTACATTACCCTGTTTGACTGTCCTTTATTACCCCATTTGACATTAGTATAGATATATAAGCAAGTTACAAGAATACCACTACTATAAGTGTTACCAAGTACCAACTTACCCTGGCACACCAGTTACTTCTGATCTGTGCAGTTTGGTTTGTAAATTGAATCTCAAATCTATAAATGAATTTGAATTTAAGCAATAAATTAAATGAATTTTTCATTTACATCTCTTGAAAGGTGCAATGCTAATATTTAATCCAATTACAACCTACTGGGATAATACCCCATGTAAATTTTTTATAGTGTTATGCCATGATTGAATTTTATTGGATTTTTTTATCCTTATGATTTGAGAATCATTTTAAATAACAAAAATATTTTGTCTCTATTATATATTTCCAAAATTTTAGTCAATGGCCACAACATCATCAGACCACCAGCTTAAACTATTCACAAAGTCATAAAAAGAGTCTCGCCAATTTCCTTCAGTATTCTATCCACAAGAACTAGGCTCTCTTGATTGGCAAAAGACTCAATAATGCAGAGTGCAGTGTAGTCTTCCAATGCTAGATCCAAATCAAGAAGAGCTTCAGCTGCCCTTGCACGTCTTGTTAACGCTTTTGAGTATCGAGGGTTCAGTTCCAGAGCTGAACTGCAGGAACTTAAACTTAAGGCCAATTTTGATATTTCAGGCCAGTTTTGATGATACATTACTGTTCTACATATAGAACTCAAAAACAACTTATGAAAGAGTCTAAAAAGTCTCTGCTTTGACACTATGCTGTACCATAATACTGCAGTACTAACATACCGTAGGTGTAATATATGTTTGGCAATGCCGTACTTCTGTGAGCAGCATTGGCATTGCCATGCAGTTGCTAGTTTGCTGTCACTGTGCATTTAATGAGGGATATTCTAGAGGGATATTAAATTAACCAGTACACATAGCATATTGGAAAGCAGGACCTGAAAGCTTGGAAAGGCCAGGAACTTTCCACTTTCAGACAATTATATACATATCCTATCACTTTCCAGCAGTGATTGGTTGATGGGATTGTGATTTTAGCCCCTTTCAGCTTTCCAGCTGTGATTGGTTAATGGAAATGTAATGTTATCTGCTTTTTAGCTGTGATTGGTTGATGGGGATGCTTTCAAGCTAAGATTGGTTGATGGGGATGCTTTCAAGCTAAGATTGGTTGATGGGGATGCTTTCAAGCTGTGATTGGTTGATGGGGATGCTTTCAAGCTGTGATTGGTTGTGCCCATAAGCCCCACCCCCACATATGGTATATGTACTGTCAACTGGGGCTACTCGGGATGATTTCAAAAGTTTTTCATTCATGACTTCTTACCATGAAACATTTCATAAACAAGTTTAGGCTCATTTCAAAGCTCTTTGCAAGGGCTATCACATGGCTTATCCAAAAAATTGCATATGCTATTCGTAAGGTGCCAGAAGCAAAAAAAAAGAGTGTCCCGAGTAGCCCCGTCAAAAGTGGCTACTCGGGACACTTGGAATAAAACTTCATTTTAAAACATTTGAAGCATGCAGAGTGTACGCATCCATTACTAACAGTACTCTGAAGTCCTCCTCTTTTATTGTAGATGATGTAAAGGTAGAATAAATGACATTTTTTTTATTTTTACTTGTTTTCATTTTATTGATATGATATTACCATATACATTAATTACCGTATTATTGATGCGATATTACCATATTACTGATGCAATATTACCGTATCCATGAACATGCCATTGAGCATTTACAACAACCTTGTCCACTGCAAGCTTCATATCAGCAGCCTTATAGCATTTTTTTAAACATCAATATTTGTGTTATCAGTGCTCTCCATCTCATTCTCTTTGCCTTTTTTGCAGACCATTATTTTATGTGTCAGTGGAGATTGATTAAAATTTCAAATCTCCTATCCGCCAAAATATCGTACTCACACTACTGCCTGTGGTTGGTGAGTAGCTGCCAAGATATACCTTTTTTAATCACTGCTCATATATTCATTGATGAAGATTTTAAAGTTGTGTTTTTGAGAATACCGTTATAGATGAGGAATATATTTATCTGTTATCCTGCTTGATAGTTTATTGTGTATATATGTTTTGAAGTTTGTATTGATGTTGTGTTTAATAATAGTGTGTTAGGTGTTGATAGTGTTAATATTTTACAGAAGCATCTTCAAGCACTTTCATGAGCGGCCCATGCCCCGTCTGCCTGGTTGCCCGTTTGTCTGGTTGTACGGTTGTACCATTTGCCTAGTTTTACAGTTGCTGGTTGTCCAGTTTAGGAGTTATATGGTTATTTGAGTATACAGTTAACAGTTTTCCAGTTACCCAGTTATTTGACTAGGTTTTTTGATTTAGGTTTCCCTATCTTATTTAAATTTTAAGTTCCTTAATAATTAAATCTTGTATTAGAATTAAATAAAGTTGAACAAAAAGAGGAAAAACACCTGGTGGACAGGGATGGCTATAAGGGGAGTTGGGAGGCCATCTTTGATTTAACCCTTTGAGTCTTAATTAGTATTTTTGAACTTCCTTTATACTTTTTTATTATTTTTATTAGTGAACTTGTTTATTTTTATTAGTGAACTTCCATTCTTAGATTTCCAGCCTGCTGTGCAAGCATGCATGAGATTTTGCTCCCACACAATAGCTTTTATGGTGCATCATGTTCAACTCTCATTTGTGGCATGATTTGTTATTAATTTGTAAATGCTAAATTGTTGTGTTTGACTGGGTGACGAATTGCAAATGAATTAATATTTACTCTAATTTAAATCTTAAAGTGTTGCAACCTTCACTCTTGATTCTTTCAAGTGTAACTTTGATCCATCCTATTTTTATCTTCTCAACCTTAACTAAAATTTTTGTATCAGAAAATGTGATGGAGGTGAATTGATAATAATATATGAACCTCAATTTTTAGAATTCCATCCTGTTGGCAAGAATGAGGAGGCTCTTCCATGCGCCTCAATGCTGAACAGTGCGACGTGGCTGTATCCAAGACAGAGTGATTTAAGGATACTTGGTTCCACTTCTGGCTGCTCAGATTTGAGAATTTTGGAGTGAATGGAATCTTTACATATCTCCAAACAAAAACCACATCTCAATAATGTGTTTAGTTCATATTATCTGGAAAACGTGGAAATTGTAAATCTCTAGGCTTTTGCATTTTAGGGTTTTTTCTTAAGTTTTATTCTTTTCGTGAACCCTAGGACTAAGTTGTTTCAATCAAGTCCTGTATTTTGATATAATGTTTAGCATTGTTAGGTCTTGTTTAGGTTTTATGTCTGTCTCAGAATTTTGACTTATAAAATGATTTTATTCATTTTAGTTTGTCAAACTGATGATGGAGCTGGACTCCATTTACTCGAAAATGTTTTCAATATGTATATGGTGAATTTGCTTGGTGTTTTCTTCAATTTTAAATTCCTTATAGGGTAAACGCGGTATATTCCGACACTGTGGGTAATTCCCACACTTCTCAACTTTTTCCTTTATATTAAGCTTTGTCTTAGTTCCATGCATTTGATGATGGTTGAAATAGTGACATCACACTATCAGTGTTGAATTCCAGAGGGGTAATTTATAAACTGATAAACATAGCAAATAGGAAAGCAGGACCGAAAAATCTGGAACATCCAGCACACTTCCACTTTCAGTCCATCATCATCACTGATGAGTCTCTGCAAGATGCCACAGCTGTTTCATTGAAAAAAACAGCGCTTGCATCATTACAGTAACAAGAATCCAATCAAGGCTTGAAGACGTCCAACGTAACAGTCACAAGAATCCAATCAACGCTTGAATGCGTCCAACATACTGTCACAGGGATCCAATCATCGCTAGAACGTGTGCAACGTCACAGCCACTGGAATCCAATCAGCGATAGAAAGCTAGAAAGGACCGCCTCAAATGCACATAATGTTTACGCACTGATGCTAACTTAAGGCGTAATGCTGCAATTCTTATTTCAAGAGCGTAATACAATAGTGTAGTTATGTCATTATTGATGGAAATCGCAAAGAATAACATCTTCACTATGTACACTCACTCACAAATACATGAAAGACTGCCTATTATTCAATCCACAAATACAAAACTGACCACCGATGCAATCAGCTAAGACATCCAATCTCCTTTCATTGCGATCAGCCAAACAAAAAAAAACGTAAACAAAGAAGGCAGCAGGGATACCAACCGCACCGACAACCAATGTGAAACCGACATCAATATAGTCATGTGAAAAAATGAAAGATATGAATTCTTCTATATTAAAAATTTATCAGTAACTGACACTCAACAGAAATCAGAATGGTTTAATAACTTTC